CTCACCAGGCCTGTTTAAGCGGTGCGTCGTTTGTTCAAACAAACACCTTTAACAGACGGACACGACCGCTGTCTGTTTTGCCTGGGTGGTGTGCAAGAGATTAACGAAGCTGGCCCTCGAACTTTGGCTCCAGAGATTTAGATTCTACCTTTGGGATAAGTCTCTCAACCCTCCCTCAGCTTTGATGGGGACCACAAATACACATTTATTGAATGAATGATAATAGAACATCAATGATTTTCCTTCTGTGATTTAATTACTACACCATAAATAAACCTTGTTACATTTGACAGCAAGAGTGTGAGATTCAAAATTGATATTAGTGAGGATAATATCCTCTGGTGGCAGCCAAAAATAAATAAAAATAAAAAGGGAAAAAGAACAAGTTGTGTCCAAAGTTGAACCTGGGTGAGCGGCAAAAGACACAGGGGTCACTGGGGGTGCGTGACACTGCCCATCTCTAATGATGACTCAATAATGTTACATAATGTGTTCCCTCTCTATGTTATATGCCCCCCCCCTTACCATCAGCCCAAGCTCCAGTTTCGACCGGTAACTTGTCGCCTCATACTGGCCTTTCTCCGGCTGATGTGCAATCCACCCGTTCATCAGGGCGGGCAATTGCAATAGAACTCTCGGGCTCAGAGTCATCTCACTATTCACCTAGGAAGCACTGAGAGAAGCGTAAACATATCTCACTTCCTCGGTACGTGCCTCCATACCGGGAATATTATTATTACCCTCAGTTTCCATGATATTATTCTTCTGACGAATGGAGAGATACCATCATTATGACCCATGCTTACTTGAAGAACCTCAGGAACAACTTTACTACGATGAATTCCAAAGGGTCAGGTACACTTTACCATACCAATCTCGGTGTTCACCATCACTCTCTCCCTCCCCACCACCGCATCAACACCCATCACAACAGTCTATGCCCACTTATCCTGCCGCTCCAGTTAAATCAATCTTGAAACGCTCGATGCCGACTGTCCAACGTTCACATTCCAAATAATCAAAACACTCCCCCAAACACCACTCATTGCTACAGGTCACCACTACGTATACAGATCCTCATCCTCCAGCTGAAATAGAAAGATGCCTCACACGTCTTCCCATTCAACTTCAACCTCCACCTCCACAATCATCGGTACCGAGACACAGAGATATATCACCATCTTCATCATCATAATCTATCCAAGAATTAGAATAGGACTCCTCTCAAAAATCACCATCTAATCTTCCAACACCCACCTCCGATGTTAATGAAAACCACCCTCCATCCCCATCTGAAGACTTTACCTCCTACTCTCAATTGATTTTGAGAATAGCCAAATCCCTTCAATTAGACATTGAAGAACTGCCACCATCCAAAACTGACTTGATTTTTGATATCAGTCAAGAATAAATGCCTCCACTCAGTCTCACATTCATCTCAGCCATGCTGGAACTGATTAAGGAATCTTGGGATAAGCCTCCATCTTCATTACAAATCTCAAGATGGATGGAGAATCATTACAAAACACATGGGCATGACACTGGTTTTCTCACAAAACACCCTACACCCAACTCTATAATAGTAGAATCCAATCAGTCCAGAGGTCAAAACAAATCTTCCGTTGTTCCCACCAACAGGGAAGGTTGAAAGCTTGACATACAAGTCAGATGAATTTACTCTCCCATGTCATTCATGCTGAGAGTCACAAATTATCAAGTGGCAATGGGAGTTTATCAACGACAGTTGTGGAATAAGATACTCCCTATACTGGAATCAGCTCCTGAGTCCATCAAATCAGAGGCCATTAACAGAGGCCACTACATTGGCTAAGCAGCAAAGAATTGTGGATGCGGCATCAAAATCCTTAGTCATCTCCATTGCACTACGACGCCATGCATGGCTCAGGTCCACTGGCCTCTCTGATGATGCCAAATCAAGAATAGATCTCCCATTTGACAGAACTGGACTGTTTAATCAGAAAACTGACAAAGTCATGGAAAATCTTCACAAGATACAAAAAACGGCACGATCTTACTCTGCTCAGCAATCATTCAAGTACTCAGTACCGACAACAGTCTTTTCAACATCAGTCATATCAACGATTCCAACCTTAATGACAATATAAACCACAATAATCAGACAAGACATTTCAAGGCTCTTCACCTCCAGTATCATCCTCTTTTCAGAATCACAACAACAACAATGCCGCCAGCCCTTTTGTCGGCCTCAGAAAAAGGGTTAAGCAATACACATAAGCTCCAATTACTGCTCTACCATTTTAAACCTTGATTCCAGACTAGACTAAACCCATTTCTTTTTACATGGCAAGCTGTAACTAATGACCAGTAGGTCCTCTTTATCATCTAATATGGTTACTTTATGGAAGAGTTAAAAATACCCCATACTCTACAGTTCTTCAAGAAGTCTCTCTGCTTCTTTAGTCCCTTCATCTGATCTGCATAACGGTTTTTATTCAAGATACTTTACAGTTCCCCCAAAACCCCAGAAAACTCCATCCCATCCTCGATCTCAGACATCTCAACAAATTTATTCAACCTTGACAGTTCAGAATGTTGACTTCAGACACTATCATTACTCTACTTTTGCAGGGAGACTGGTTTGTCGTGATCGATCTCCAAGACGCCTATTTCTACATTTCAATTCACCCATGTCACCACCAATTTCTTTGGTTCTGGTTCGACGGCATTACATACCAATTCTGCACTGTCCCATTCAGTCTATCTACAGTGCCGAGGACTTTCACGAAGTGTATGGCACCAGTCGCTGCATACCTTTGACTTCAGAGTATAAACATTTTTCCCTACATAGATGACTGGCTGATAGTCTCGACATCCTATCATGATGCTGTCAGAGCCACCAACCTAACACACTTCGAGATCTTGGACTCAAAGTGAATTCTGCAAAATCACACTTCGAACCTACCCAAAAGGCGACTGCATTGGAGCCCTTTTCGACTCTCTACAAGCCAGAGCCTTTCTTCCAAAAGAGAGAATCATCAAATTAAAAAATACCATTCAGCCCTTCCAACCTTTAGCTTCCATATCGGCCCATCACACCCAAAATCTTCTTGGGCTCATGGCATCAACAATCTCGGTTATTCAACATGCTGGACTCAAAATGAAATTGCTGCAGTTGTGGTACCTGTCATTATTCAATCCTATGACAGACCATCCATCTATGAGACTAATAGTGACACCAGAATTAGCCTGACAGCTCACATGGTGGACATCTCTTCTGAACCCACTCGTAGGATGACCCTTTATGCTCTTCCAGCCAACAGTGCAATTTGCCACCAATGCCAGCCCGTCCAGCTGGGGAGCACACTGCCTTCATTACAAGATTCATGGCCTATGGACAAATCAAGAAAAACTGTTACATATCAATCATCTGGAGCTTCTAGCGATTATCAGAGCTTTCCACACTTTCCTCCCACTCATCTCAGAACATGTAGTTCAGCTCACCACGAACAATACTACTGCCCTACATTCTTTATCCCTCCTGTACCTTGCTATCGAGCTGTGGGAATGGTGTTATCAACATCACATCTTCCCAATAGCAGTACATGTTTCCATGGACGACAACTACATTGCAGATCACCTCAGCTGTCTGACATTGAGAACACATGAATGGTCTTTGAACGATACCATCTTCGATCGTCTCTGCCGTTGGTGGGGCATACCACCCATCGATGTTTTTGCTTCGAGAGCGAACACCAAGTGACGCATCTATTGCGCTCGAGCCGGAGCCAATGAGAACTGCATTGGAGACGCGCTCATGATAGATTGGGACAAGGAACATCTGTACCTTTTCCCACCAATACCACTCATTCAAAGGACAATCATTTGAATGCGACACTTCCAGTCGAATGCGATTCTTCTAGCTCCCTGGTGGCCGAGGCAGCCATGGCTCACTCACCTCAGGTTGATGTCAACGGACTTATTTCTACTCCCACTGATTCCTGACCTTCTAACACAGGAAGGCGGGATGGTCTACCATCCAGACATTCCATCACTGAATCTGACAGCCTGGAGGATATCCCCGCCTTAAACCATGTCCTCGATCGAGCTCGAAAGCCTTCAGTGCAACTCCTATACAAAAATAAATGGAAAGCATTCCTCTCCTTTGCTGACTCAAATAACTTACCTGTAATACCTGTATCCTTGAAGACTCTACTCACTTTTCTGCTTCACTTGTTTAACTTTGGACTATCCTATTCCACCTTAAAGGTCTGTATTTTGCCCATCATTGCTCATCAGCCGGCTAACTCCAAATCAGCTAAACTTTTGTCTCACCTGACTGTAAAAAAGTTTCTTAAGGGACTTAATAATATTCACCCACCACGCCAACGTATCATCCCTCAATGGTCTTTGCAACTTATCCTTAATGCTCATATGCATCAGCTCTTTGAACCAATGGCTTCTTCTAATCTCAAATTATTATCTCTGGAGACTTCCTTCCTAGTGGCGATAACATCCACTAAACGAGCTAGTGAACTTGCTTCCCTTCGCTCCGATCCACCTTTCATCCAGTTCCATCCAGATAAGGTCACATTATATTTTGATGTCTCCTTCTTGCCCAAGATTGTATCTGTTTTCAACTTCAATCAACCAGTCATCTTACCAACTGTTTCCATCACCATCGACACCTCTCGAGCACATGCTCCACTCACTAGACGCAAGATGCTCTCTTGCCTTCTATATTGACAGGACCAAGGCCTTTAGGAAAACAAATAGACTTTTCCATGCTTTCACAGTCCTCACAAGGGAGCACCAGCTTCCCCACAATCTATCTCCAGATGGATCATCCAAACCATCTCTTTGGCTTATGAGTTATCAGGCAAATCACCTCCTGATCATCTAACAGCACACTCCACTAGAGTGCTGTCAACGTCTACTGCCTTCCAGTGTGGGATTGCCTCACATCTGCCGTGCAGCAACATGATCTACCCCATCAACCTTTGTCAGACATTATCGTCTAAATGTTAGAGCACAGAGTGACGCTGATTTTGGCAGAGCTATCTTGGCATCTTTCCTACTGTGATGTCCCACCATCTGGTAAGTGAACTTGCTAGTCACCTAATTGTGTGCATTAACAGAGGCCATTAAGAAGAAAAAGAGGCTACCTGCCTGTAACCATAGTTCTTTGAGTGGTCCTCTGTGAATCCACAGATCCCACCCATCCTCCCATCTGTCCGTCATTTTTTATCTTAAATAACTCCTTTACTCAGCAGACACTTATCAGGAACTGAGGGGATCCAGGATGGGCGGAGTATGCGCTTCACGGGGGGACGTCCCACTAAATCGTGTGTTTTAAAGCTCTAGAAACCTCAGAGACGTTCAGTGCAAAACTAACTAACTAACTAACTAACTAACTAACTAACTAACTAACTAACTAACTAACTAACTAACTAACTAACTAACTAACTAACTAACTAACTAACTAACTAACTAACTAACTAACTAACTAACTAACTAACTAACTAACTAACTAACTAACTAACTAACTAACTAACTAAGTAAGTAAGTAAGTAAGTAAGTAAGTAAGTAAGTAAGTAAGTAAGTAAGTAAGTAAGTAAGTAAGTAACCAAACTCTTTTTATATGGCACATATTTTTACTTGTCAATGGCAATTAAATTGTCTTTGCCTTTTCCAATGCCTCGGGTGGCTCGGAGTGGGAGGTTGTTAGTCCCAGCCTCATAGGCGGAGGCTGTTGTTTTCTCTGTATGATAGTTTCTCTGAGCCAGTTAAAGCTAGACACCTCTTGCATTTCTTTGGATGGCCCTGGTTGGAGCCAGTCTGGCATGTCTACCCAGTCTCTTCTCCTTCCTCTTGTTCCTCCAGTTCTTCTTCCTCTTTTCCCTGCTCCTCCTTTCTCTCCTCTCTCTCCATTGTATATCTTTCATACCTCCCTCTTTTTCTCTAGAACACTTGGACACTGTCTGCTCTTCCTGACTCTCTCCCTCTCTGTGTGGTTCCCTGCTTTCAGACTCTTCTGAGCCAGGCCCGTCCAATGTCTTCTCATTTATCACCTCCATTGGTGATTCTGGTGGGTTTTCTTCACAGAAAGGAATGTGGTCACCTTTCAGAGATAGGCTAATCCAGGAGAGAGCACCTTCAAGGCATGGAGTGAAAGGCTCAAGGGACAGTCTGACTCTAGATCTTTCAGGGACCCTCCCACAAGTTTGCTTTGTGTTGTAGCTTGTTGCTCCTTATATTTTGGATGGGCTGTGCAAGAATCTTACTAGGATTTTATTCCAGATGACATGGACTCTTACAGGTCATGACAGCAAATTATCTCTAATTAACATATGACGGGAAGACAAATAGCACCTCAGCAGTTAGCTGCAATTTGCTGCCATAATTTACACAATTTTGCTTATTTAGGAGTAATGTTCCAGTACGATTCTAGCTTGTATACTTATATTATTTAAAGATTACCTCATATTTATATAGAGAGAGAAATAGATAAGAAATGGATTTAAAAAAAATAGACTTAAGCGGATTGCCAATTTGGGAGTGAACCTTGTTGGTTTAAATGGTAATCACTTGCAAGCATTTTGGTTTAAGAAAATGCTGTATGCTCAAATGATTTTTCCATGGATACTTTTATTCACTGCAAAAGGACTTGCCTTGGCAGTATATATTTAAAAACTAGACTATTTAAGCATTATAGCTTTTGTTCAGTGCATATAGGAGCAAAGACCACTTTTTCCCCTATGTGCTATCAAGTCAGTTCTAACCTGTGGTGACCCTTTTCAGGGTTTTCCAGGTAGAGAGTACTAAAAAGTGGTTTATAATCCCCTTTTTCTGGGAGCATCCTGAGACTGTGCAACTTGACCAAGTGCAGACTGGCTCTACTTGCATGAGGCACAATGGGGAATCAGGGTCCTACTTGACCAAGTGCAGACTGGCTCTACTTGTACAAGGCAAAATGGGGAATCAGGGTCCTAACCAGACACCTAAACCACTGAGCTATCAAGTGAGCTATCAAGTTAAACCTGCAGTACATTTAACACCTCTCAGCTTGCCTCCTGTGCTAGATAATTAAGTAACAAGTTAACAAGCAGTTGCCTACAATAAATATGTAATGATGATTTTGCATATTCAGGGTTTCAGACGGTGCCTATGATTATCACACGGGCAAGGTAACATGTGAGTTCACAATTTGGGGAAGGAATAAAAAGACTGCAATCCTGTATTTTTATCTGGGAGTGAGCTCCATGTATCAAATGAGTCAAGTACGGAAATGTGCTAAAAGTTTGTTTGTTCTTTTCTTTTCACAATTAGCATCAGTAAAATCAAACTTTAAATCTTCATTAATCTGTAGGAAGCATTTGTAGCCAAGATAATCTTAGTAGGAAGCTTGGGAATAGAAAGTGCAACCATCATTGCAAAAATAAAGACATATGTGGACATGATTGCTGTGAGTTTCATTCAAGGTTTTGTCACATTTACCATTAGAAAATAGCTTGCTTGCAATGAAAAACGTAAGTTTTTGAACATAAAAATGCTTGTATGGAGCTATGGACATGATTGCTGTGAGTTTCATTCAAGCTTTTGTCACATTTACCATTAGAAAATAGATAGCTTGCTTGCAGTGAAAAATGTAAGTTTATGAACATAAAAATGCCTGTATGGAGCTGTTCACATATTGCATGTGCTTGTGTGCATGAGTCTGCTGAAGGGATTCTCACATGTGGAGCAGGACACACAGGGGGAGGCAGGGAGGGTTGGAGTGTGAGACTGGCTTGTCTTCTAAGTTTCCACAGACAGAGAATAGCATTGTGTAAGACTCAGTTATTCAATATGGTAAACATATAGAAGTATAGTGCATATATTAAATGAATATACAGAATTCAATGTCTTTTTAAGATGCTTTGGAGACTACATATTCCCCTCATTACCACCACACACTAAAGATTACTTGATAAATGGGATTAATCAAGTTTCTAGTTACTGCAGCTATAGCACTGTAATTAAATTCATGCAAAAACATTCACAAAATCAACATCTACCACCACTTCCTGCACTAAAGAGCAGTTGGGTTCTTACCTATTTGAAAAGCTACTCAAGACATAATAATTTTCCCAGATCTTTTCTGACTTCCTGAGATTTTAACATAAGTACAGTCCTGTTGTAGCCAATGTAATCTGCATATAAAGAATGCACATGAAAGTTAACAATAGCAAGTCCTTCTGTCATCTACTTACATACATTAATTATGCTGCCTATATAGTCCGTGTGTCCATAGGACCCCTTACGCATATCAGTTATGCTTTACAGAGCAACTGTTCATGTGAAGGGACACGACAGTGAATGTAAGTGAGCTGGGTCCAGACTTGTCACAGTCCCATCTTACTTACATGCACAGTCCAGTATTCATGGTTTCTGTGATATGAACCTTTCATCCTCTTATTTCTTTCATCCTCTTGTTTGCTCACCGTGCCTTTTGAGAGTGTAAGTCTGCATGCTGTGTTTTGCCCTTGATTATTTTATGTTATATATTTCTTCCAGGTGCTTTAGAAAAAATAGCAATAACTATAATTAATAATGATGTTCTGCCAATATAGAATCACATATTCTCTCCCAAACACCTCTAATTTTGCCCACATATAATACTGAATGCTTGAAATGTAATTTTTTTTATATTGATAAAATTGGAAGATCTCTGCTGATAAGATATATGGAACATCTGGCTGACATTTAGCAATGCAAAACACATGCTTGATCATGATCCCCTCATGTGGGAAAGAAACGTGTGGGAAAAGCAGTTTCAATGAAGCTTTCTGTGCTACCAGTTGAACAAAATCTTGAAAAGTAAAAGATCACAGAGGCAGTGCTTATTGGTGAGCTGAAGCCTGGTATCAGGGTGGAAGACGAACTGAAGCCTATGTGCTTCTTATTAAAGCAAGAGCAAAGCATGCTACTTATATTACTGCCCCATAGGGCTTAAAGCATTCTCTCAGTGGTTTACTATTCAATTACCCCCCACCCCCCGCGCGTAAGCTGGCTACTCAATTTACAGACCTCGAGGGGATGGAAGGCTGAGTCAACCTTCAGCTGGCTATCTGAGATTGAACATGGGTCGTGAGCAGAGTTTTGGATGCAATACTGCGGTTTAACCACTGTTCCACAAGGCACCCTCATTAATAGGAGTTTAACTGACTGTTGTGTACAGGTGGTGGTGTTAATTGCTTCTCTTCCTGTGATTTGTAAATCCATTCTTATCATACTTTATGACTAAATACAAGGTTTCTTGACAAAATATCTCACATTTTATACTGTATATGGAATATTTTAAAATACTGAGGCAGAAATGAATGGTCCTCATTATTTTGCTTACATAATTATTGTAAAAGTGGGTGTGAAGTCTGCACATGACAGTAATCTGATGTTCAAGTGGTTACCTCATATATAATATACAGCACAATTCTAAGCTTATTAGGACAAGTCTTGGTGGCCTAAGCCACTACATCTGCCATATCCTGGATGAAACAAATAATGGCTACATGTAATATTTGCTTTAGAAATGGAAGTATTAGGTTTGGTTGTTCCGAGACAGAGAGGATTCTGTGAAATGTCTGTCATATAATATGGTATATTCCTAACTTTCCTAGCTTTAAAAAAACCGAATAAAGATCTAAAAATGAAAAGTATGTGTTTTTTTAAAGGTAAAAATGGAGTTTCAGAGAAGTCTAACACGAAAAAAGATTCAATGTTTTCTTCCTATCTCACTGATTTGAGAAACCGGAATGCAGAGTCTGCTGTTCCCCCAGTCAAAAGACTAAAGGTGTACTGTTTGTTCTTGTGCCTTCCTAACATAATGTCTGTGTATTTCACATTTCATGAGTGAAATATAGCCATTCAAATTGAACATTTCCTGTAAAATGAGGAGAGAAGCAGAGTTATATACAATCATGGGGGTGGGGGGGCGTCAGGGGATGAAACTGACATGGTGACAGTGGTAATTATTTTAGCAAATGTATCTGGGAGGGAAGTTTTATTATCACCAGTACAATTTATTTTCAGATAAATTTATACAGGATCAGGGTATAAGGCTTAAATCAGTATTCACAAGGAAATAGGTTGTATTGCAATACAGGTGCCACAGATGTTGGCAATATATAACTTTCCCTCTATTAATACTGGGTGATTTCATTACAGAAATTTGATAACTGCATCAAAATCAAGATGGGAACATCATATATCTACATTATGTATTTTCAGTAAAATTCAGTGAAATTAAACCTTTGAACAGTTGTCTGCTTAATTTTATTTAACAGTGTTAAGGTATCATCCCTTCTTCCCTCTTCATAGAGTTAAATCTATGGTCTTCCAGCAAGATTTGTTTTCCAGTGGAGAATGGGTTGTAGAACTGATAACAGGGAACGAAATGTGGTTAAAAACCATAGATAACAGCTAGCCTGGGCTTGCTGAAATGCTTTCCTCGTTCCAAGCTGCCACTAACTAAATTTGTTTATTTAATTTATATATATATTTTAAAAAGTTACACACCTTTTCAACCATTGAGAAACACCTCTCAGGAAGTGGGGAAAAATAATGTTGTTCGTATGTGATTTTTCCATTCCTGACAAGGTGCCAGAAATATTCATTTTCCTGTTTTATTTGTACATGCATAAACCAAACCAATTCCATCATATATGAACATTGTAATAATCTCTATCTATTTTAGATGCAGATGTTGAATAAATCTCAGAAGATGGATCTTAAACAATTCTGTTATGCTCCTAAATCTTCTCTTCCAGGATTGCCAGGGTATTCTACTATCATAATAATCACAATCACTTCCCATTCAGATTACTTATTTTTTTAATGATCAATCATCACAGTTTTATTTTATATATACTATATATATACTCTCTCTCTATATATACAGTATATATACAGTATATATACAGAATATATATATATATATATAGTTCTAATTTTCAGCTTTCTTGATTTTGTTCCTTTTTATAAAGGCTGGGGTGTGTGCAGCATTCAGGAGTCACTCAGCCTAAAGAGACAAATGATACTGATGTCTTTCAAAGTTGTCTACAGGAACCTGAAGTCTGCAGAGTGGGTGGTAAGTTGTTAATGAAGGCTGAGATTTATTCTCCAGTGATTCAGTTTTGTGAAATTTAAGCACTGTGGTTCAAAAGAGGAGAAAGAATTTCAGCTGAGATCAGTGGGACTTGATCAGTAGATCAAAGTATGTACCTCTGTTTTTTCTTTAAATAGTTCAAGATTTCCATGTAGATTTTTCTTTGCCATGGGGCAACATACCAGAAATGTTGTCTAATATTGGTGTTTGGTTTAGTTTGTGATGTACTAACATGCCTATTTTTGTCATCAAGCTAAATAAGAGGTTGACTATGCTAAAATTATCTTCCAGCTCAGTCTCTTGAACAGTTAACATAGCAGCAGGTACAAGGGCCAATCGTTGAGGGCCTACACAGACCATCAAAAATGCAAAGAAGAAAAGGGAAAGTAAAGGGAGGGGGAGAAAAAATAATCAAAGCAAACAAATGAATCTTTTTTGGGGGGAAATAGGTGTTTGGGTTTGTTAAACAATGCAGGGGGCATGTCCTAGTTAAAATTTGGCTTACTATTTCTTGAGGCTTTCAGGGCCAGCAACTCACCTTTCTTTCCTTTCCAATTTAAGTAATTTCTGCCAGGGGATGGGGGGGGAGGCTAAAAAATAGCTTTGGGAGCCACGTGAAGTCCCATGTCTACACTTTGTCTATCCTTGCTAAAAAGTATTCTTGCATTCTTCTAGAAAGTGAACAAGTAGCCTCATGATTTTTAAGACCAGTGTAAGAAATTATGTTGCTGTTTCACCTGCATTCTTATTATGCTCAATTACAGGTTTCTTTGTTAGCAAGCAGCCTGCAGCTCTGAATGAAAAGAGCCATCGGACAATGATTTCAAACAACCTCAAAGAATCTTTAATGAATAACTTGACAGATGCAGATAAAAGCAATGCTTTGTTTTCAGAACCTTTGAATGTGAACTTTGAGTTAGGAAATGAAGTTTGGGGTGATTTTGATGATGGGAGTTTAATATATGCAAGCACTTTGATTGCTGATACAGAGAAAACTAAACATTCAGGTAAAGCATGTAGCATGAACGTTTAATGTAAGTCATTTATTCTTAGTGTGCATGCAGAATCAGCATCTGCAGAAATCCCCAATGAATCATAATGCACAAAAGATTAAGAAGTGATTGCGGAAGATATTTCATTACATTTAGAATACAGGTTCTAAAATGTGACATAGTTTGCTCATTGCCATTTACCAAGCTGTCAGAAGATCAGAACACGGGTTGTAGTGTAATGATCAAGCCTACTGTGGTTAGTAGATATACCATGCTTTTTAATATTTTGAGCATATGGATATAAACAAACAAAATTTGGTCATGTTTCATTTCTTATAAATTACCATAGAAATAGCTTTGTACATCTAGCAGGATCACCATCTTGTTGATTTATTGTTGCCTCGAGTATTAGAACCTTAATGGCTGTGTTAAAACATGTTTCAAATATGTTTACGTTCCACTTATAATGTGTTTTGGGTTGTTCTTATGTTTTAGAATCTTCTGACTTGGGATCTCTAAACACATGCCTCCAGAACTCAGGAGCTGTTCCTCTAGATTTAGGAAAAACAAAATGTGTTTTCCAAAATATAGAAAGCAAACCTGCTAGTACAAATTTTAAAAGGTAAGTATAGGTGCAATGTGATGATTGTAATAGATACACACTCTCAGATTTATATCAGTATGTGTCTACCATTTAAACAAGCTTGCTTAAATAATTATTCAATGACTAGAACTTTTAAGTAATTCACTTAAAATGTATTTACTTATTTAGTTTAGTTTTATATACTTATCCCTTCTTTCTGTAATTACTTACATTCAAAATAGCTTACAGCCTGCATAAGATCCCACCATACACATCCAGATCTCATAAGTAGTGCTTTGGCACTAATGGGAGCAGTATATAAATTGAATGAATGAGTGAATGGGTTGAACAAACAAACAAACAAACATTTCTCAGTTAAAGCACCACTATGGATGATAGCAAATGCTATATACAACATGCAAGAGGGTGGGAGAAAAGCCACAAGGAGGCACCCTTGTATGTTGTACATAGGGCTGTGGTAAACTGTCGATAAGTGAAACCGTGGATGCCGATCCCGTGGACATAGGGGTTCTACTGTACATTCATACTGGGGAGGCAACTCTAAAGTATTCAGACCATTGTCCTTAAAGTTTAAATTAAATTGATCTTGGATAAGCAAAGATAACCAATGGATGTCATGTAGCATCCTATGTTTGTCATGATTGATCATGGGATATTGGGATGTTGGGATGTTTTTCACTACAACTACCACAATTCACTGGGTGTTCACCCAGCTAGAATTCTGACACTTGTAGCTGAAAAATCCAAGTCTTTAAAGGAGTTGCAGCAACAAAACCCTGAGGTCCAGCATATTCTCTGAAGCTACTGCAGAGGGAAAGAGTGGGTGGGACTTGCTAAACTCCATGGAAACTACTAGGGTTAGGGTTTATATATGCCTACTACTGTATATATAAACTCTTAGTAAACTTGCTATAGATTAGATTTAACAAGACAGGAAAGAGGAAAGCCCTGAATGCTGAGAAAAATTTTTCAGAACATTTTGCAGATTCATGCTATGGGATGTTGTGTTTTGGCTGTGTGTCACATACATACTCATTCAAATATATGTTTCTTTCACATTAGGAACTTGGCTTTTCCAAATCTGAACAGGTGGAAGGTCTATCAGATCTAGTTATTTAAGCATAGGGGTTGGGAGAGGAAAGAAGAACTATTTGGGGCATAGAGTTCACTGATATGAATGTTTTATTGGTATGTAGTACCACCAAACTTGAGTTACCTCAAGACAGAGAAGCCAAAAGACCAACGCATGTTGCAGATCATGAAAACAATGTTCCCAGTGACTAATGCAGCTAGGAAATAAGATTTCTACAAAAATGATCTGTAGAGACAGATCATTGCAGATATGTTTAACTTTCCTGCAATTATGAAATATGCTTTTTGTATTCTTAGAATGGAAACTATGCTGGAAATTGTTACACTTTTAAGCTATATCGACCCTTACTGTCTTATCTTATTTCTAAGCATTTAGCTTTGATTTGGTTATTTTTTCCTTCCTTCCTTCCTAGCTTTCCCATATTTAAGGAGAAGTCTGATGTCTGTCTGCGGAACTCCAACTCCCCTTCATTGACTCCACCAGCAAATGGAGAATATGGACATAAAAGTATAGTAAGTGAAAATACACTAATCTGATAATCATGTGAGGCCAGTAATCTCATGTATCAGTGTATGTAAGCATGTACATCACTGTATACCTTTATTACCAATTGCTTATGAAAAGTTGTTTCATGGGAATCCAATCTATGGGACAAGGGTTAGAAGCCAGCTGTATAGAGGTGAATTGCTGCTTATTAAGAAATCAGTGTTTGCATTTGTTGTGTGGCAAGTTATGTGAGTGGTGTGTGACACCAAAGGCAAAAGCCCGACTTCTAAAGGAGAGGTAGTTTCCCTCTTAGATTTATCAGTGGATTTATGCTGACCTGATGTTTGGCAGTTTTCAATGCTGTTGAAAAAGTCATTCACTAAAAGCTTAATTCTGTCACTGCAGGAGACTGATGATGACAACAACTCTCAATTTGTCCCTTTAGTTCAACCCAGTATCTTTCCACTGCCTTGCCCTGATCAGGCTCTTTTCACTTGCTCTTTTTCATGTCACTCAACATTTGCCTCATAATTATTCCTCTACCTTAGATTGTTTGTTTGTTTTTTATTGTTTCCATTTCTTTTCCTTCGGCTCAATAACTCTTCCTTCTTTTTGTCAGCTCTATACTCTTTTGTTTATTTTTCATTTTTGAAAGCCTGCAATTCTCTTCCTTCTCTTTTTTCCTGCTTTTTCTCCATTTAACTCAGCATGGCTCCAGTAGGGAAAGCCTCTTAAAATGGCAAAGCTTTTGAGGACTCTCCACATGTGTATGGTCCATGACTCATCCATCCTACTTTCAGGCTCCACTTGGAGTCAATTGCAGGTGGCATTCTGCTACCTCTCCTCTTATCGTTGCTTCCTCTGCTAAGACTCTCATCCCTGTGCAAGAGCCCTGCCTACGTGACAGATGAAATGCAAAAGGCATCTGATTTTGAAATCTCTTTGGACAATGGAGTCATTACTAACTCCCAAAGCAACCATTTTGACTTTCTGTATTTCCAAAACTTACTTCCTTTTCCTCACCTCACTGCACATGTGCACACACATGCATGCACACACACACACATACACACTAATTTCAGAGTCTCCACCTGCCAAATCTACATGTGATATTGTGCTTTCAACTGCCACATCTAATATCAATCCCAGGTCCTCCCAGTCACTCTGCATCACAGACAGGACCCTCCCCAGCGTTTGAACCATCTGCTGACTGTTCTGTTGGGGTCCTAAAGCAATAAAGACATAGATCTTGAGCTGCCTTCCACTCATGCTACCCATCATGCTGACTGGCCAGACCAGGAGGAGAGTAAATGATCTGATTGGTCAAGAAAAAGACTTTACATGGGAGAGATTATTTAATTTTGATTATTTTCTTACCTTTAAATCTGAAGGTAGAATTGGATACACCGCTTCAGGGTAAGAAAAATTCTACAATCACTGAGGAACCATATGTCCTTTGCACTAAGGCTGTGAAGGAGCTCCAGGTCCCTGTAGTCAGTATACCAATGACACTACTTCATTGGGGACCCCAGCTCTCAATGATGGAGACACTCCTCCCAAAGACCCTAAATAAAAGTGCTCTGATTTGGCAGCCACAACAATTACGAGTCCTAAGCTCAAATTATTCGTACCTTTTCCAGTGCCTGGTTCATTGCCAGGCTATCAGTGCTGTGAAAACTTCTAAGTTCACTTATCACACTCTGTGAGTACATACTTGCTGTCATTCAGGATTCTCTTACCTTTACTGCTGGGATGACTTCTGTTGCAGGGGTGGTGACAGGAAATCTGTGGCTTAAACACTAGAATGCAAATCTAGATCTAATATGACCGGCTACCATTCTCTTCTCCCTCTTCAAGGGATACTGTGGCCATTGCATACAAGAAAGATAATAAATGAAAAGCACTCATGCATTTTGCTTCTTTTGTGGAAAGGAGCAAAATGCATGGGTGAAAATCTCCAGACCTGAGATTTTCATAATTTTTGACCACGCTGGTCAAAATTCAGATTCTAGTCCACCTTCCAGTTCCAAAAGCAGAATCAGGCCTCCGCCCCTACAGCATCTTGGAAAAATTACCAATGTTCACATTCTTCCTGCCTCACATTTGGAAAAATGATGGGTGCTTCAGATAAGGGACGTGGTGGCACTCTCGGTTAAACCACAGAAGCCTCTGTGCTGCAAGGACAGAAGACCTGCAGTCGTTAAGATCAAATCCTTGTGATGGAGTGAACCCCCATCACTTGTCCCAGCTCCCGCCAACCTAGCAGTTTGAAAGCATGCAAAATGCGAGTAGATATAGGTACCACCACGGTGGGAAGGTAACAGCATTACGTGTCTAGTCGCGCTGACCACGTGGCCACGGAAGATTGTCTTCGGACAAACGCTAGCTCTATGGGTTGGAAACAGAGATGAGCACCGCTCCCTAGAGTCGGACATGACTGGACAAACTGTCAAGGGGAACCTTTACCTTTACCTTACCAGCTCTATCTGACCACATTTCTGGTCAAAACCATTAGATGTCAGAAGGGCCATGAAGATTTAATTGAGGTGTCCCTTCCAACAACAGTTCTTCTTTGTTCCCTTCTACCAATGTCACAAGGCAAGTCTCCTCCTCTGTCATTGCTAAGTGGTTCAAGGCATGCATCTTTGGTGTATGAGTCCTGTCATCTACTAAAACAGACATACCTTTTCCATGAGGGCTGCTTCTGCATCAGTTGCTTCTCTGTAGATGCTCTTTTAAGGGCGGTCTCTAAGGTGGTGATGCAGTTGTAAGACCACATTTACTTCCACTTTGACAAGTATGCCTCATCTGCAGCCTCATTCAGCAGAAGGGTACTGCAGCAAGTGTTCTGAGCTTATGAAGATAGACACCTCTTCCCAGTCAGAAGTCTATTATAGCTGTGCCAGGTAGGTCCCATTATTGGATGGCTCCTTCACACAGACAGAGCGTGTAATGTTGGCTTATCCCCATGAAGATCTATTCTGGTCATCTAGACTCAGCTGAGTAATGGCTGACTCATTCTTTTATCTTAATTAGCTTTTCTTGTAACCTCTTGACAAATGTTATGGTTTTGACACACTTCTTTCCTTCTACCTTCTCTTGCTCCTCCTTGACTTTTTCCTGTATTTTATTATGTAAAAAAACCTGGAAGGAGCCTAGAGGGCATGCATGCAGGGACTTCTTTTCATCATCAGTCCTTTGTTGTACTTAGATTGTGGTGGGATTAACTTTTTACCAGAAGTCTTCCTCATCACAGACCAGAATGGACCTTTGCAGAGGTAGGACAACATCACATTTCAAACAATGTATATTCAGTTGCAGTTCAAATGCAGAAGAACTCTTAATAGTGATTTGGCAGCCATAATGTCTCTAGTATAATTAGTACAGTATTTTGCATAAGATGTGTAATTTGATATGAATTGCACAAGTATTTTATTATATCAAGCAAAATACAAACGAGGGAGATGATGTTTTCAGTTGCTTGAAATTTGCTTCCCTTATGACTTCTGTGTTACAGATTGGCTTTCAAGGAAAAAATAGTCCCTCTCAAGAGCTGAAAAGTACACAGATAGCTGCATGCTCAGAAACCATCTTGCAGTCTTCCCAAATCACTGGAAAGGAAGACTTTTTTATCTGTAACAAAAGAATAATGAAAGAGGGTGATCTCAGGTAAATGAAAAAGATTTGTGAGGTACTGCCAGAATTTGGTCTTCTGTTTGCATAATTAGATCTACAACAGGTATTTCAGGAAGGTTATAATCTCACAGCCGTCTGTCTTTAGGTTTCAATGTTAGTAAGTGTACTCTAGTTTGATTTAATGGAACCATATATTGTGCTCTGGATAAAATAATCTAATTTTATAAGGTCTAATGTAGCAAACAATGTTTCTCTTGTGCTTTCTTTTTCTTAGGTATCAGCTTTCTGATGATGATATTAAGCCTTTTCTTGGAATATTTGATGGTATTTTCTAAGACCAATAAATAAGGCACATCACCAGTGGGGGGAAAATGTCCTCATTATAGGATGATATCTTCAGTTATCAAGCCTGGATTTTCTACTTTTTGTTTTATATCAATTCATCCATAGTCACTTTTGCTACATGGGTTATGTGGGAATAATCCAAATGCTACGTGGTTTACTTTGTAGTATTATTGAATATACAGCATATGTTTAATAGTTATTTAAAGTTATTTTTCTGTATGAGATCGTTGCTTGTAATGCTGGAGAAGATAAGACTGTTTGGAAACCTTCTATTACAGTAAATTCTTTTCAGCGCAAACTGTTTTGTTTCAAATTATACAATCTTTATTCCAGGAAATAAGAATATCTTAGCAGTATGCATCTCCTCAGTAACCACATTTGGGAACAACACTTAAGTTATCCCTGGAAAAAATATCTTCTTTGTGAGATTTTCATATTTGTCGGTTATTTGCATTAAATTGGTTTTATGATGCCTATACATTTTGGGAAACAATGAGATTTTAGAATAAAAAGGAATAAAGTTAGTTTGCAGTTTTTAAAGTGCTGTAATCAAAATCTGTATTATTCAACCCCATCCATAGTCGGCTCTGTTTTATAAATGGGAAGCACTCTTCCGAATGCAGCAAAAGTCTTCAAACTCTTCTTCTAAACTCTCATTCGATGAATGAAACAAAACATTTGAATCCAGTCTAATACATTTTTGTCTTGACTAGATACAACTTTAACCCATAAACATCTATCACAATCAACAGCATTTATTTCTAAAATATTGCATAAAGCTGTAGAAACTATTCAGAGCTAGTTTTAAAAGTGGACTAATTTAAACGGTTGGTGAAAACTTCCATTTGTGTCCTGACATGACTAAAGTGATATTAATAAATATTCCATAGTCACTTCTTCAGACTTACAAGATCCTGAAGACTACAAAAAGATCTGTTTGAAAAATAAAGAATGAAAATAAAATTCTGAAATTGTAAAGTTCCCATTAAAATATCTCAAATGACTGTATAGCCATGGAACAGCAACAATATTTTCTTTCGTATTTGTCTGTTTAACAATATATATATTAAATGTAAGTGCTCGTTCCTTATCCCTAATGGATGGGAGTTATAACTTCCGGGCTGCGATCCTGTTGCTCACATTAGAGCAGGCCCATTGAATCAGTGGCAGTTTGATGAATCAACTCCTCTGCAAGTTCCATTGATTCAAATTAGCTACTCTAGTTGTGACTTACTATGCTAATATAAGTCACTCCTAAAGTCTGCCCGTTTAAATAAATGGAATGTACAGAGGGGTTGACTTATCAAATTGCCACTGATCTAGTGAGTCTTCTCTGATGCAACCTACTACACTAAGGAACAGAATTTCAGCCACTGATTCTTTCCTTCTATAGTTATTTAAGGTGCCAGTGGCCTTTGTCTTTGGGGAGGGGCTCTTGAAATGGTTTGCAGCACACTAGCGCTTCTCTGACCACTGTAGGATCCATCAACCAAGTTAAAACAGATTCAGGCGACTATTGGTAGCAACCTAGTGATCTGGCCTATTACTTATATTGTGTGGTTTTGCAACTGTCAATAACACCTGCTTGGGCTCCAAAATAAAACCAGGAGGCTATAGTTTCCATACTCTGTACTTTGGGTAGTTTTATTGCCAATAACATCATGGAAAATAAGTTATTCTCCAAGTTACTTTCTTTTCCCTCTTAAATTAAATCCTGCCCAAGGAGGGGGATTAGTAGTTATTAATGTTTTTATTTCAGTCTTAAAAGAGATTAATTTTCAAAAGATAAATTCAAAGTTTCTTATAACATTTCCTCCTTGTGCAATATTGCCTTCATTTTTCATATGCTCCTCACCAATAATCTGTCTTGCATACTTTAGGGAATAGCTTCAGTACTTTTTGCAATATGTCTTCTACTTTTCTTTTGATTTTTAAGAGGCTTTAATTTCCATTGTCAGCCATGAACAAAGGGCAGAATCCACCAGAAAGTTCATTCCCCACCCTGAAGAGAAAACATATCTGCTGAATCGTGTCCAAGATGTCACTTGCAGCAAATTATTTCCATTAAAAGGAGAACAAAAAGCAGGTGTCCAGATGTTGCAACACAACTCCCAGCAGTCCTAACTAGCATAGTCAATGGAGGGTGATAGGGTTGCAGTCAAACAATATTTTATATTACCTAATTGTGCTTTAAAAGGTTACTTTGAGTTCTTTATGCCCTGTTCTTAAGAATAATTTCTTGTACAAAATCAGCATCATTGTTTATCTATCTATAGTTGATAGTTTTATACTTTTAGAGGATAGGTTTCAGAATGCAACAATTCTTTAAGTAGCCCTGAATGTGTCGGGCTAACCCTTTATTTCACCACTGGAAGGGCTGAACATGTTTTTTCATTATCTTACTTCATTTGTCATTTTTGTTTTGCCATCATTTATTCATGCTGCTTTTATGTTTCTTTTAATGTCTAATTTCCCTTTCATAAAATTGTAGAAGCAAAAACATTCTGAAGTACTTTTATTCCCAAAGAAACTTTTTAATATTTACATCCACTGTTTTTGATACATTCTCTGATTGCTTGCTTTTCTGGTTTTGAAGTAACTGTGATACCTGCTCAAGATCAAAGGTGATAAAATACTCTATTATGGCTTTCTAGAGGTATTTAGTTTATACTGTCATATAGTGCATTCCACATAAGCTGCTTCAGTAAAATACCCTTTGAAATTAATAAGGGCATTTCTGTATTCTTGATTTTTGCAAGTCTGATTTGCTAAAAATAATCGTTGAGCAAATGTAGTTTCATCCTAGAACAGTATGGCACAGGTAGCTGGTTTCCAGTGGCCATGCGGACACTGCCATTAGTAACTTCTCCTATTTTTAACTGTAGTTAACTGGGTTTTGTTGATATTTATAGTTTGTTGGTTGTCTGGTAATAAACTACACTTTTATCAAAAAATATCAGTATGGTCAACAGTAAGTACTAGTAAAGAAAAATCATAGAAAAATAAAACATAGTAGGAAAATAGACTGAACAACTTAAAGTGCCCAGACAAACAAAGCATTTGACCTGGCATGGAAATTATTGCCATTTGCAGCTCCATCAAAAGGGTATTACAAAAATAAAAAAGGAGCCTTTTTCATCAGCTGTCATACAATAAGTAAAAAGGAACTTGAAAAGAGCATCCTTTGTGAACTAAGATACTGTATAGGCAGTGCTCTTTTAGGTATTTAGGTCTCAAACCATTTAATGTTTTAAAGTAAGATTTTGAACCATTTAAGTTTGTAAGTGAGCACTATCTCCTTAAATTGGGCCTGAAACAAAGAGGGAATGAATGCATCTCTGTTAGGAGCTGTATACTAATTTGGGGAAACAAACAAGGTTAAATACATGATTATTCTCCAGCTATGTGCCTGTTCTTTCAAAGGGAATGTAGTTCCATCTAAAACAGGCTGCACATCCAGTTCCTAAACATGAGAACCAACCATCCAGTGAGCCTCCATCTGGTGAGATTCAGCGTGTGCTTCCAGGCCATCATTCAGCTCATTATCATGTCCAGACCAAGAAGCTAGATTTCCAGGTTCTTCTAGATTCCTGCTCCCATGTAGATCCCATACATCAGTGGTTCCCAACCTTGGCCCCCTGGATGTTCTTGAACTAAAACTCCCAGAAGCCCTCACCACTAGCTGTGCTGGCCAGGATTTCTGGGAGTTTTACTCAAAGAACATTTGGGGACCTGTTGGGAAGCACTGCTATACATGAACAGGAACTTCTCCATGTCGAAGTTGTTTCTGCTCATGTGAAGCAACAATGTGGCTAGGCACTCCTCTCTATTTGGGTTGATGATACTGAATTAGATAGTTGTCAGTATATTTATGTAGAATTTGTGTGGATCACTGAAAACTTTGGTTGTAAGTTCGCTCCCAAGATGGATAGATGGATGGATGGATGTACAAAGAGATGTGGAGAGGTTGGGCATGCCACAGTGCAAATTGCTTGGATTAATTAATTGTTACAGGCACTTGCTTTCTCCTGTGAGATATTGTGATGAACTAAACTGAAGTATGGATGATCTTGCCTTCCAATACACAGGTCAATTAATATATTCAAAGTCTGTTATTTGTGGTATTTCAGCCATTCAAGTTTTGGGTGGGTGGGAATTATGTTTGATGTATTGGCTGTTTTTGTACAAATATAATGTCAACTAAGTCGAGGAGAATTTCATATTATACTGGAAATCCTATACATTACCAGGTGTCTCAGAACCCAAATTTAGCTTTCCATTAATTACTTTATTACCAAAATCCAAAACAAAATGCTGGTCAGAAGTATGAGGTGGCTTGTGCACCCAGCTGAAGATCTCTTCAACCTCTGAAAGGAAAGTTATAGAAGGAAACATATGCAGGCTGTGTTTACATACAGACAGAGCTTCCATTATGTGCTTTGGCTGTACTGGAAGTGCTTATGTCATGATTAAAGGTAAAAGCCACCTATGTAATGTTGCTCTTCATCACTTCCCTCAACTCTCCTTTTGTTCTATATGTGCTACCAGTAGAGTGTCTCTATGTGTATTCCTTGTTCACATTTTCTGCAGAATATTGCATTGGAGAACAAATGCAATACTTTGTTCTCAGCTAGACCTAGAAATTTTAATTGAGGCATACTTTAAGAATACATAATGTTCAATTAACTTAGAATTTTAGCAGTTAAAAATAGACATGGGCTATTCATATTCGTCTCCCAGGGGAGACGAATACGAATATCGGTACCACAGGCCTGGCAAAACCAGACCTTCCCACCAGAACTGGCCAGTCCACTTAATGCTCACGGTGTGGTGTGCGTGGCTGGTGTCATTCCCATTGTGCTAATCATGGAAGTAGCCTGGCTAGCACTTCCCCATCTCCCTGCTCTACTAACCACTCTGACAAGGGGGCAGGATGATAAGTCTCTCCGCTCAGCTGCTGAGTGGTCAGCTGTGAATGGAGGGAAGTACCAGCTGGGCTACTTCGACAACTGACAGGATCGACACTGGCTCAGTGTACCACACAGTGTGCAGTAAGTGGACCAGCCAGTTTTCTGGGGAGGGTCTGGTTTCGCCAGGCACATGTGGTACCAATATTCATATTCGTCTCTCCTGGGAGATGAATATGAATATCTCATGTCTAGTCAAAGTAAACAGATTGTGCTTTTGACTCCTGTCCTCTGAAGATGCCGGCCACAGAGACTGGCGAAACACTAGGAAGAAAAACCTTAAGAACATGGCCAAACAGCCCGGAAAACCCAGAACAACCATCAGATGGTGGTTTCTTCTTAATTATTATAAGCCAGTTACAATTATGATGATATAATAATAAACTATTATAATAAGCTATTGCAGGCCATGGTGAATTTTCACTTCTGCAGGCAGTGCCAAATGTAATTCCCACCCCTCCAGTCTTATCTCCTTGAGAGAGGGAACAGAGAAGCAACTAGGCATGCTGTCCCACCATGTTGTAATGGAAGCTTCCATGGCAATCCCAAGAACAGAAAAGCTGCAACAGTCAAGACCTGAGATTATTAAGGCATAACTGGTGGTTTGTAATTCTTTGTACATGTCTTGTTGGTTACATGCAACAAACATTTTTGCTACAGTTCAACAAAATACATGAAAGACAAGAATATTGTCGCGGCAGAAATTACTGCAAGGGGAGAGAACGTAAATCATTGGTATCATTTATTTTTTTGA